AGAACTTGCACAATTGGTGGCTGACTAAATACTTTTTTGCCCCACTGTATATGCTCACAGTGAAACCATTGTTCTGCAAAGCTGTCAGGATGAGCTAAATTAAAATCTTACCATTAAAAGGAAATAAACTCTGATTTTCACAGTCTAGAACAAATGCAGGGGGAGGACAACAGTTATACAATCTTTCTCACGTAATGAGTATAATATGCTAGTATCTTGTTCATATTACTGGTTCAGAATAAAATGCACAATTTCCTCTGCTTTGGTAACGGAGCTTACATATCTCCGTCAAGAACATCTTCCTCACTCTCTACAATTCTCTGCCTGACAGTGGCCAACTATATTTTTTGGGGGAATCTCACACACATGAACAGGAGTGCAATTACTATCTTTCACCATTGCTCCCTAGCATCTAGTATTTAAAGAATACTGCCTGTGGGATCTTAGGCCAGTGAAAAAAGAGTAGAAAGTCTGTGATTCAAGCCCACTTTAACTTTGAGATACCAGGAGTTTTTCCAGGCTTCTCCCATCTAGATTAAACAAGAGGAATCCCAAATAGCCATTTGACAAATTAGAACTCTTTCTAAGCTTCAAAAATGACTATAAAAACAATAATGGCTATATTGCTCCATGAGAAAAAACATGTTTTTTCAGAACTTATGTGCCAGCCATCTTTGTCTCTGAATGCTAGAGTAAACTGACACCAACATCTACAACTGGATAACACACCAAAGGAACAATCTCCATCTTGAGACTGGCTCTAATGTAGGCCTCATGGTTGAAAAAAAATCTAATCTAACCTAATTTGGACTTTGGGCTTTCTTCCCTCTTCCTATCTCCAGCTTTTTATAACATTTTGTCTGATGTGCAGTACTGGAGAACTTGAAACCTTGCCTGCTTGTCTGTGGCATTCTGACTGGTCCCTAATAAAGATGTTGCCCCAATTCAAATATTAGACCAATAATGGTGACAGCCAAGTTCTGGGGAATTAACAATAATATAAAGTTGGAATTTGCAAATTGTTCAGTGAAGCATCTGGATAACTTTCAAGTACAAAACTTAACTTTACGTCTAAATATATGGCAAAAGATGGAAACTGGAGTGAACCACAGCATTAAGCACTGTGTTGCAAAATAGGGTCGGCAAGTTCAAATCCAGTGAATAGAGAGATGAGGCCAATTCATCTTTGCAAGGAACCATTATACGGTGTTAGAATAACGCCAGCCAAAGCAGACATTACTGAAATAGATTGATGGCGCATATTTTTCCTATTGTGCATCAGGACTTGAAATGTATAAAAATCAGAAGCAGCTGAAGATCATTATTGTATGGTAGAATGAACAGCATCACTCAAGACTCTGAAGAAAGAGGTTATTTGTAAAATATTTATCCACGTAAGGCCTCTTCAAATCAAAATAAAATGCTGTGGTATGTCAGAGAGAAAAGGTTTCCTCTAGTTTGCTGAATCACTTTTCTACTCTTTAGAATTTTTTTCCCCTTGGGCTGAAAACGTAACTACTGTACATGCTAACTTGAATTTTAATCCTACCACCTCATTCTACAGAACTCACACATGAAGGTCAAAATTCAGTTAGGCATATGAATAATCTTTGATCTATCTTAAGTAGGAAACAGGTAGGCAATAAGCATTAATTTCTATTCACCAAGTATAACATATTACGAAACAATTACATAAGTAAATCAAAGAATATAAAACAAATTCAAATTTGTTTTAAAACTCCAAGGTTGTATTAAGACCAATAAGATAAACTAACAATAATCATAAAAGGGCAAAACTTCCTCAAACTCTAAGTACCCTATTGCTGTTACACAGCATTAGTGAGAACAGAAACGCTACTGAAATTGAACTATAGTTGAACTGGTAACAACTTTTATTCAGAAGTAAGTCCCACTATAGTCATAGAACTGCACCCTAAATTTTAATTGGTCCATCGTAAGTATAATGAATTATTTAATGTCACTATACAAGGAAAGTATCACAGTTGCATTCACTTAGTTTAGTTGTAATGTTGCAAATTAACAGGAATAAACAATATAACTGATTTGCATATCCATGACATTCATTCCTCTTTCTTCCTTAGTTAGAGTTGGCATTAGGTACTTATTAGGTATTTACTTTCTCATACTTATTAGGTATGAGAAAGAGTTCTCTTAGAGCCCTTAGAGTTTATGAACTCTTTCTCATACCTAGCATGCGATCCTTAGATCTTGAAGCATTCTAGAAAGCACAGAATTAGGGATCTAAGCACTTGAAACTGAGGAATTTGAGAGCTATTCTATTTTGGACCTACAGAAGGGAAATGCCAAATCTCTGAAACCTTTTCTGAAAATTGACAGGGAGAAAATAATACGAGATTACTATCTGGGGTTTTATTTGGAGAAGAGACTGAAGATTGAGCCTTTCAAAAAGAAGAGAAAGGAATTTAAAGTGGATTTGTCAGATCAGGGTTAAATTATTTACATTTTGATTTTAGATTGTTAATACTGAATTTTCTTTTTCTGACCAGGACTATAAGATGATGATTTATACCTGTAAAAATGATTTGGCTTAGGTTAAAATACATATGTTATTACTATTGGTCTTTTGTATGCTTAAGGGGAGAGATCTTTTAGGCTTTACTTTTTTAGAAAAAAATTAGAAGTTAAAATGCAAAATAGACCTATTTGTTTAAGTTTAAAATATATAGTTTATTATCACTGGCACTCTTAATATATTTGCTGATTAGATTGATTGTTGGATATTTTTCATAATTTGGTTATTGTTTAGGGATGAGAAAGGGGGTAAAGAGGGCTTTTTTTAGGAATATTACAAATCGTGTTAAGTTACTATTAATGCATATACTTGTTTGGAAGGAGGGGGAAGTCATCTTTTATATTTCTTTCTCTTTCTTCTTTTTGTTTGTAGGTTTTTTAGTTCTGTATTAGTTTTTATACATACATACATATATACATTCATATATATAAACTTTAATAAAAATATTATTTAAAAAATGAGGAATAGCAGGAGGACCCTCCTGGGAGAGGAGTTTCTGGGAGCGCAAGAGAGGGACTTCTCTGTTGCAGCACCTCCGCCTGGAATGCTTTTGCTCCAAGCTGGGACCTACATGGCCCGCTTTTCTGTGACGGTGGGAGGGGGGGGCAGTTTACTCAAGCATTTGGAATGTACCAACCACTATCTGGCCGCACCCTACCGTCTCTTGTAAAAATTGTCCTTTCCTCTTAACTGTGCTATGATTAACATTGGTTTCATTTATTTTTATTTCACTTTATTATTTTGTCATATAAAGTTTATGGATCCCTTGGATATATTTAATAAATATAAAGAGCTTCCCACCCCTGCATTAACCTATAGTATATCAATGATAAGCAAATATAGCCAGTGATTCAGATTTTCAGTCTCAGCTTTTTCAAACACAGAAAGTCTCTACTGTGTGTATGTGCATTTCCCTCACGTGCCCTCCCCAAAACATTTCTGTCTCAGCCCTCTCAAACCATAGGGCTTTTCTCAGATTGTGGGAGAGGACAAGTAAGTGAAGACATATGAAATCAACAGCAAATGTTTACAGCCTTCCTTTCCTAGAAAACACCACCACTGCTATTCTAGCTCCCTGAATTCTTTGGTTCCTCTTCCAAGTCTTTGAGCTCTTTTCAAATGAGGGATGGTACTACTCTGCCCTATCTACTGCAGGATCTGCCTCTTCACTTTAAAAACCCATACCAAGGAAGCAAGCACACAAAACTGTGCAAACAATAAACAAGTATTCAATTACAACAGTTTGTGATAAGGCAAAAATCATTGTATTGGAAAATCCACATTAACATGAATGGCCTACAAGTCCGCCTTAATTCTGTGATAAGTTTATGCACACCTCACAGGAATTTAAGACGACCCAAGCTAATCAAAGATTCAGTCAAAGATGGTCTCAGGCCTGGGATTAATGTGTTTCTGGAGCCCCTGTTGTGTATTTTTGTTATTGTTACATACAGTTGTTTTAGCCTGGGCTATCTGTGTTGTATGTTTTTAACTGTTTTATTGCCCTTGGATTCTGTATGCCACCCAGAGTCTACTAAATACTATTACTACTTCTTTTTTGTTGTTGTTACTACTTCTACTACTACTAATATGTAGTACATAGACTGGCAAGGATTTCTAACTGGCTATGTCATCAGGCCTGGGAGTCCTGGGGATCGGTGACATTGTAAGATGGCTCCTTCATTGTAGTTAATATTCACTCTCTCCTGTGCCTCTTGTATATTTTAATAATGGCTGTTTTATATTTTTAATTATTGTTTTTATATATTTATCATTTTATTTAATTGTTGCATGCTGCCCAAAGTCACTATTTGTGAGATGGGCAGCCATATAAATTTGACAAATAAATAAAACTACCAATTAGTTAATAATAGTTGCAATGGAGTGGCGCTGCACCACATAAATA